CCGGATTTGCGCGTAGCGTCGCCAACGGCCTCAAGCTCGCCCAGACCCAGGCGATCGCTGTCGCCGGCTTCCTCGCCGACGTCGACTCGCGACACGACCGCGTCTGCGTCTCCTGTCTATCGCATCGGGCCTCTTACCACGGCAGAGGTGACTAATCCTCGACTAATACACGCGATCCACACGCCTATCGCCAAGGCTCCCATCTGTCTGCCCGCCTTCCAAACTCATACGCTCGCCTCCAGACTGCCTACCGCTCGATCCGGAAGAAAACTCCGACTCTGTCGAGTTTTGCTTCCGATCGACGCCAACGTGCTTGTCACTTGCCATTTTTACCTACGTTAATGCATGAACGACGTCGGATCAGCATCGACGTATTCGTTGCGCGTGTGTCGGAGGTGCGTCCGCTTAACCCTTCCGCCACCGAATTTCTCTTCATCTCGCGAAAAATCGTTCTCTCTCTATTATGCACGATGGAAACGTTCCTCCGAGAATCGGATGTACGAGTAAACGCGTGTACGCGTTGCATTTCGTGCGATTAATCGCTAGACGGATCGTCAAAGTTGACGCGAAAGGGTTAACGACGATAGCACGGCATCGACACTCCTCCGCATTGCTTCGTAGCAGCATGAACTGTCTCGTTGATCGGGCGACAATCGCATGCCGTTCGTACGCGTACGCGTCGATGCATGTTCGAGGAAGATAAGGAAAAGTTGCTGGAAAATGTTGGTGGATCTCTCGTTGATCGATCCTCGCTTTCTGAAACTTGTCTATTCGAACGAACATAGCATATGGGCGCTTGAACAACCGAACGTTGTCGTGTTAGTTGCTGCTTTAGAAGCCACTATAGCGGGACCATAGGTGTGAACGTATCGATGTTGGTCTAATATGGCTCGTCAGCGACAGCCATCGGATTTAATTGTTAAGAGAAACGCGGTCGTAATCCTCTGCTCGCACGCACGCGCGTTTCCGACTTGCACCCAAACAGTTTGCATTTTCTTCCCTACCCGATCATTGCACACCAACGATGCACCAACCATGCACCAACGATGCACCGTCCATGCACCAACGACACACCAACGATGCACCAGCGATACACCAGCGACGCTGCAACACACAGACACGAAGATACACGCGGTCGTTGTATGGCGCGTGTATCGCACGACGAGATTCTCGCTCGGAGCATGCGTTCTGCCAAACAGTTTGAACGTGTAACCGTTTGCGATGTGATTCGCTTGTCGCGACTAACCACGCAACTGCTCGGTATGGCACGAATCGCTGTTGAGATCGTAGAGGCAGAGCGTACCGCGGCGAGCTTAATTCCTTGACGACTGTCCTCGTTCGTCAGTTTCCTGGGCCGGTGAGAGTAACGGAAGCATCGGCGCAGAGCGCCTGTCCCACAGTTTACCCGGCAGT